AAAGATTTCATATGTTTCCATCGTAAAGTATTTATTAGTTTTTTTGCCTGATTGCGTTTGTTTCAAATTAAATGGGAAAATCGCTTTATTACACCCTAAGGTGCGTATTCAGTTGGCAAATACTCCGCAATGGAAAGATAATAAAACAAGTAAGGTGCAGCTGCTGCACTGAGCAACTGCAACAGAGCTCAAATCGGATACTGAATGTGTTGTCGACTGAATGAACTGCGGGTCGCACAAAAAGATGAAGCCTCAAATATATTGGCCAGTAAACATCAATGAGAAATTTCACAAAGAGCTACTGGCAACTGATATAAGTGTGGTTACGACCCAGACGTAATTGTCACTTGTCTGATAATCGGACAATACAGGTATTCTATGGCGCATCCAGACGAGCGTGTGTCTGTACACGGATGTATTGTCAGGTGACCGGCTGAAATTGTTTTCGAGGCATTGGACACGTTTGGTGGGCAACGACGAGAACTGACAACGTGAGGTGGATACCGATGGACTTCACCGAACGAACCGTGGTGATGAAACTACGCCGCTTTCAATGGCTCGGAAAAGTACCACGGGTGACTGTCAAACGGTACCTTTATCTATATCTGCTAGTGATTTTGGGCTTGGCTGTTTCAGTGATCAGTTCATAATTCACCGTAAGGGCACAAAGAACTTCCCTACAGTATGAATCTTGGTTAGTTTTTCCCGACTGTCTGACTGGGAAACACGAGGGATGATGAATGTCATTGGTTAGGGACGATGAGAAAACCAAAATTAGAATATTTCACATTTAGTTCACAATTATTCGCGAGTAGTCGTATGGGATAATTGAAATTGATTTGAAATGTTCATCCTTCAGACTTCACGCACAGTCCTCAGCTCATCCAGTTAGCTAAACACTGAGAAGCACTTAACTCCAGTTTCGCTCATATTAGAGCTTATCAGTAGTTTATATCCACCGTCCTGTCCGGGCTTTGGACTCTGGACTCACGGCATGGGAGTCGTGTGTGTTGTCACTGTGCCAACGAGTTCACAAAAGGGCTAAACCAAATTTTCAGTTCATGTTTGTTCAGGTGTCGTCTTTAGTGCTAGTCAGTCACAGCATATTATTTGAATTATCGCACACCAAAACTCACAAGTAACTGTAAGTTAAATGTGAATTATTAATCTATACTAGTAGGTTTGCGGGCATTTGGCTTGTAACCTGCATAAAAGATCCGATATGATGGGAGGTTTTCGACTTGGGTTAACCGTTCGGCAACTGTATCTCCCTTCTTATTTGTCTGCTTAACAATGAACTGACCGGCCATTACTCGACACGACACCTGAAAAAACATAAGTTGGCAATTCGGTTCAGCCCTGGTACGAGCTGCTTGGTACAGTGGTGTAACACACAGGCCTTCCATGCGATGGGTCTGGAGTTCAAATCCCGGAAGGGACGGTGGACATGCACTACTGATGAGCTCCAATAAGAGCGAAACTCGACTCTAGTGCTTCCGCATGTATGGTTGACTGGACTAGCTGAGGAGTGTGTGTGAAGTCTGAAGGTCAGTTCAAATCAATCAGAATATTGCATGAGATTAATGAAGGATTTCCTTTGTTCATATGATGAAATCATCGTGTAAACGAGGCCCAAACTGAAAAGTTTGTAAGCACTAGACAGCTGTTTCAGCCTGATTGGTTCTCATCAGCAGTGCGAATCCAGCAACCCAACTGGGGATCGAACCCGGAACCTCACAGGTATTGGACGCATGCATTCTATCCACTCGGTCACCGGGCAGCTCATCAGACCGTTTCTCATTTTGTATAT